GAGTTGACCCTGTATTTGTGATTTGTTTTTGTTAAATGCTATAACTTGTACTATGAGCAAGGCTTTGCGGCTTACTGGGACTCATACTGTACTATCTATGTATACTGTTAAACACACTTTGTGCTTCAGAGAGAAGAGGTCAGACTGTGCCATGCCTCATGCTCTCTAATATTTGTGTTTCCAGTACTCTGTGTGTGTGTGTGTGTGTGTTTGCAAAGTGCCTTAAATAATCTCTTTTGAGGCGGAGGTTTACCACCCAGATGTCAGCTCTGCATTTGTGAATATTAACATGCAGTGTTTCAGTGATGCAGGTAGGGTAAAGTAAGAGAGTGATTTCCACTTACTGATTGAAACACACTAACATCTGCCACCTGAACGACAGGCTCAGGCTGGTGGTTTGGCGATCCATTTCTAAAAGGGAGGAAAAAATGAGCAGGTTATACCCGAACCCATACATAAGATAACTAACATACATGTTCTTCATGCAGTAAAACAGACAGCCACGGAAGAGATTTTACGTAAATGAAATTCAAGCAGAAGAAAGCAGCCTTACTCATTTAGTATTAGCAAAAAAAAGATCATCAAAGACTCATACCCTTCTGCAACTGGGAAACTGTTGTGTGTGCTGCTGAAGCCCGGAGACGGAGAGTTGGTGACGTATGTGACCTCAGGCCAGGGGCAGCACTGCAAAACACCAACACAGAGGTTGTTTTTGAGGCATCTGCACGACCTTAGAACTCAAAGGAGGCAGTCGAGTAAATGAATCCATTAAGGGATTAAAAATCAATGGGAAACATTCATCGTTTGTTGTTTCTTTCAGCATTCAATTACAGATTGTATGTGTGAGGATTTGTTGCTTTTTTTGTTCATTTTATCAAATTAACTTTTTTTGTTTGAGGCTGTTGCTCAGTCGAAACAGATTCCTATGTCGCTGTGTTTTTTACAGAGTAAGCAGTACATCTAAAAATGATCTATTAGATTTGATTGGAATAATTGTTAGTTGCAGCTCTAACTGGAATCAATGTAAACAAGCCATGTTTGACATTAAAAGTATATTCATCTCCTAAGTGACATTTCTACATAACAACATGACATGCTTCATCCCTTTACAATCACAGCTGTATACTCACCTCTGTCAGTATTGTGGTTTCATAGGAGGGCTGGTATTTTTCTTTTTCTTGTGGCGCCCTCTTCTCCATCTTCTCCCTGTCCGTCTTCTGCTTTCTGTCCGCACCTTTGGGCTGAAACAGGTCATGCGAGAATCATTTACATGGGGAGATCGCACGTTTTTGCATTGCAGCACATCGGCGCTTCTCCACATCCCTCTCACCTTGAACACTTTGACCTGGCAGGAGGCAGAGTGGAGGTGTTCTGTGTATTCTTCATTCTCGTTCTCTTTAAACGTGTCGATCTGGACGCGGAACGGCACGCCCTTTTCGCCACCGTGCTTACGCATGGTGAATTCTGTGCTGATGCAGTGTACCTAAGAAAAGGAAAGAATACAAAACTGAACTCTACAAAAGAATGACGACATGACATTCAACCAAAGAGCATTTGTGTAAGTAATTAATGAATATGGGAAGTTTCCAAACAGGATTGATGAGTACACTAGATGTTAACAAGCAATCTCCATGATGCTCAAAAGCCCAAACAAGCTTCAGATAACTGCTGTTGCTTTTAATAAATGAAAAACAAAGGGAAACAATAGTGTGGTCCATCATGCTACCTGGATAAAAACTGAGGTTCTTTTTGACGGGTCCCAAAGGAACTCCACAGTGTTAAGCTGAGTAGGGTTAGCCCTGGGGTCGATTATGCCGACGGACATGGGGATATCTGCAATGGATCAATGTGAAACAGGCTGTTACCACACGAGTTCTCAGTGCACACCTTTTCTTTAAAACATCACCACTATCATCTCAATCTTGCACTTATTTGTCAGGTTAAAAAAAAAAAAAGAAATCTTACTGAACGGTTAATAAACATACAAGGCTGCACATCAACAGTCTGCCCACACACAAGCTCAACACAATACTTCTGGAGCCACCGAAGTAGACCAGCCAATGTTTAAGTCAGTGCTCACCCAGGTCTAGGATGCGATCCCCAGGCCGGTTCCAGCGCCAGCCTTCCAGCTGCTGGTGCTCTGTGTACTGAAGCCGTCGGTCGTGAAACACCACACGAATTATGCTCTGAAAATTCAATGACATGTGTTTTTTTTACCAAACAAATCCAAAGCAGGTAGATTCACTCTCCTGAAAATGAAACAATTTCACCGGTTTGTGATGATAGACTTGTGCAAATTTATGGTAAAATGTGTGAACTGGAATGTCAGTCTTACCTTCACCATTTTATCAGTGATTTCAGGAAGTTCCCCAATTTTCCGATTGTCAAGCATTCTTATTTCATAGGACTGTCCTGCAATGACAAGTACACAAATAAAAATCCAGTTACAGATGCTGAACATTTACAGGAACTATTAAACCTTTGCAGTTTGTTTGTTTATTAGACATTTAGAGTCACAAAACAACAGTATTATTATACAGTTTGTTCAAATGTCAAGAAGACACTGAATATAAAGTTTATTCTGCAATACCACATGTAATGATACATTAAAATAAATTGTTGTTTGGTCTAACAAATATAGAAATAAATCGCAAACATGTGTGTATTTAGATCAACACTCATCCAGGTAATAAAATAACTAAATTAAAAGGCATCAGAATTTGCTTTCAGTGTCAGAGCACACGTAGTCTGAGATCCTGATGCAAACCTTGGTTGAGGTAGGTGAGTGTTTCATCATGCAGTTTAACAGCTGGCGAGGTAGCTGCACACAGAACATACTGGAAGGGAAGGATCTTGTTGTCAGAGTCTGGAGGCAGGTTGGACTCCTCCTGCTTGAAGATGGGGAGGGCGAGAACGTCGCTGGGTAACAGAGATAAGAACAAGAATAGGATGAGTGCACTGATCATCTCCCTGTGAGGCACAGTCATCATTTCATTTTCATAAGACAAGTCGACAGGAAATAAACACCTCATATTTAATTATTCATGCGGATTACTTTGAACCTCATGAAAAAATCATCAAAGTTCAAACGGAGAGTTAAATATTCCCAGCCATCATTACACATCACTTAAGGCTGGATGGTGGGATATTGTGTTAGTCAGCTTTGCACCCAGAACAACCTTTCTAAATACCATGGTATCCAGCCAGGATCTTGTTGCTTCTCGAAACAGAGGAATGTTAGGAACAAGTGGGTGCTTTGCAGCCTGGGCAGTATCATTTACAGAGCATGTAAGCATGCAGAAAATGGCACAAAAGAGAGTCATCTTTCTCCTACAGGGCAACGAGGCTGAGTCATCAATACCTAAATGGATTTCACATAATACCCATCATACAAAAACTGAGTTCAGATATCCAAGATATCAATATTTTTACCTTAATAAGAAAGGTAACGCTCTGAACCGTGTGAACATATATTAACACTTGTGGATTAGGGTGTATCTGAATAGTGATAGCCCCAAAGCTCAAATCAAAATTCATCAAAGACTATACTTAATCTGATAGTCACCAGGCAGCGCACAGCTTTGCATTTCTTCTGCATGTGCTGGTTAATTTGCCCTCCTGCTATTTCTCAGAGCAGAGCCAAAAATATTCATGCATAAGTTTGTGCAGTGTGAATAGTCTGCAAAAGCTGTCTAGATGAGAGGAACTGTGAACTTTTCTACTTATGATTAAGTAGGTATTGCATTTTCTCTCACTTTTAAAAGTTTTGACTGAAAGAGGCTATACTTTAGGGTGCCATTAAAATCACTTTTACATACAGTATATAATAAAACCCATAACACCAAAAGAAATGTATTACCTTTTAGAAAAACGTTTGGACTATTGAGATGTTAAAGGCAATGTGGCATATATTTGTGAATGTAAATGTGTATCCCCAGCAGCACTCAAGTCAATCAATCAAACTTTATTTATATAGCACCTTTCAGACAAATTAAATTGCAGTTCAAAGTGCTTAACAAGAGTGCAGAAATGTTGTTGACAAAAAGTAGTTTATAAAATCATTGAGAGACTAAGGCACACAAATAAGAATTAAAAAACATGTATAAAAATAAAATAAAAGAAACTAGGACACACAAAAGCAACAAGATATTAAAATAAATACATAAGAAGAAAATATTTAAAATTGTCGTAGGATAAAAAAGACAATACAGTAATGTTAAGATCTGAATTGATATAAAGTACATATAAAGACTGAATAAATGAGTTTTAAGATTGCGTTTAAAAATCTCGATATTCTGAGCTCCTCTCAGACCCTCAGGAAGGTCGTTCCACAGTCTCGGAGCGTAACAGCTGAAAGGTTTTCTGTCCTGCTCTGTGGAACAACTAAGAGAGAGGAACTGGAGGATCTGAGGGGGCCCGTACTGGTTCATAAACTAAAATCATATCTGATAGGTTGTCTGGTGCAAGGCCATGTAATGCTTTATAAACTAACAAAATTAACTGGAAAACTAACAGGCAGCCATGTGTAAAGATTTTAAAAACAGGTGTGATGTGTGCTCTCCTTCTGGCCACGACTACATGTGAAACAGAGGATTTAATCACTCAAACACTCTTGCTTGTACCCATAGACCAGGGGTGGGCCACATGCGGCCCCCCATCAACTCTCAACGTGGCCCTCAGGTCAATTTTTACACATCAATTAATTGGAAACATGAAGAAAACGTGACAAAATCTGCCATGAAATCATAAAAAACAGACAATCCATAATAATATTTCATCACTGATATATGTTGAGTTAAATTTGAGACATAATTGACTGGAATCGTTTTTTGTATTCTACAATTTGGCCCCCTGTGGCAGTGAGAATTAAATGAATGTGGCCCCTTGCTGTGACCAAAGTTGCCCCCCCCCCCCAAATCCCTGCTCCTCCTCCTCCTCCATAGACTGTAAATGTAAAGGCTGTACCTCATGCTGTATGCCCCCGCACCAAGCTCCTGTCCAATCCCTGACAAACTGGCATCAAAGTCCTGCACCAGTCCGGACTCAATCACTTCATCAGTGAGAGGCAGCTTGAGAGCCCACGCCATGGTGACGATTTGGAGGAGAGATTTCGGAGTGCAGTGTCGGTGAAAAAAAAAAGAAACTCAAGTTTGACCTGAAATCCCCCCACAACCTGCAAGAGACACAGTGAGGAAAGTGTGGTTAAACATCAAGGAATGCAGTCATATCTTATCAGTGAAGCCAACAAACAGAACAGAGTCTCACGTTTTTGTTTTTTTTACACAACAGTGCACTGATAAGATATAACTCACACATTACATCTTCAATAAAACGAATATTAACTAAATAAATAAAACTAAAAATAACTAAATAAATTAAAAGAAAATTAACTTAATCTAAGCAACATACCTGTAGATTAAAAAAAAGAAGCAGTTTCTCGTTATCCCTGCGCCAGTTTCATGCTCCCTAACCCCCGCACCAGAATAAACATGTCGAGCTAACCTGTTAGCCACATAGCATGTCGGCTTAGTCCTTCTTCGTTTGAGCTTTGGTGGGGGATTCACTTTGACTAATTAATCCCCATAGTCACATGTAAACACAGAGGCACGTATTAACTGGCGTAGACTGTTTAATAAATATAATATAATGTCTCGCTTTTGTTTGTTTATCTAGCTTCGCCAGGAAAAGGGAGCACACGTAATTTCCGATTTTTTTTTTTTTCCCTTCTTCGTCTTCTTCTTCTTCGTGTGGTCCATTTGCAGTAGTGACGAACGTTGGAGCTCATTTCTGCCACGAACTGCTCCGAGGTCGTGATAACATAGATGAGGAGGAAATAAATGATTTTTAATTATTATTATTATTATTATTTTTTTTTTACTTTTTAAATTGAGGAGAAAAAAAAAACTTATCTCGATGTGATAAGAAGGGAAGTTATCACTAAATATGAACAGTGAACAATGAGGAGTCATTAGAATAGACAAGGTTTATTTTATTTATCTGACAAAAAAAAAAAAATGACAGAGCACCAAACTTTAATTTTTCCCTTTTGTGGCAAATACCAGACCTTATCATGTGCTTTGCTGACAAATTATATCTTATCTTGCTATCATAATTCAGCTCTTATTTTTTTCTATGCATTACTTATTATATTAAAAATACAATATATTGTCATCCCACAACTTAAAGCAACTTATTTCTAAGGTTAGGTTTACTGCATGTCCACTGCGACATAGATCTACAGTTATTAAAAGTCATGTATTAAGTGGACCATAATATGCCCCTTTTAAATTACAGACTCAAATAATGTGATCAATGTAAATAAGAGTGAATATCTAATTTGTAGTAATATACTTCTCATCATCTGCATAAAAGCCACTTTGTTATTATTGTTGGGAGTTGCTTTTCAAGTTGATTGCAAAATTATTGCATTTTTGCCATTACTGCTTCCATTTGCAAAGCTGCTTGTTATTTAAAATTATTATAGTACAGAAATTAATTACTCACATAAAAAAAAAACAACCATCGACCGAACGTGGACGACTTGTTTCCCTTTTCTTGTCTCTGCTCACTAAAGTGCAAAGAACCACTGGAAGCATTTGCAAAGATAAAATAAACCGTTGTAATATTTTTCTTATAGAAATAACCTTAATACTGCACATGCAAGCACTCCTTTAACTCATTCAGATTGAAACTCCTTACATATAATCATAACACATCATTACAAATCATCGACCACAGAACCCCTCCAATGGCTGCACAGTTAATCTCTTCGACAAATTCAGTGAATGAATTTGATGCTGAGTAAAAGTATATAAAGAGTGTAGGGATTATAGACAATAAGAGACAGTATTGCCACCAGTAACATTGTCATTAAGGGAGCAGTCACAGCACTAAAAAAACAACACTTTAAAGATACTCTCAGAGTATAATAAGCACATTGATATCTGTCATTCCCAAATACAGTACATGTATCTGCAAGATCAGAATCTCACAAATAAAAACTAACGTTATAAAAGCACTCAAAAATAAGTTTACAGTTGTGGCATTGTAGAAATTAGCACATGAATAATAAGAGCATCAAAACCAAACAAGCTCGTCTTTGTGATCACGATTAAGAAAAATCAAAACACTGATTGTCCCAAAATCTGTTAAAGTAAGTCAAAAGAAAGTCAAATAATTCTGACGTTCCTCAGGCAAATAGTCCTGATAAAAACAAGGTTAAAGGCTTATTTCAGTCTACAGATTATTATGCCTGACAGAATCTTGAATGTGTTTGCAAAGCAGCTCTGGCAGTACAAAACGACATGAATACAAAATAAACGAGGAGCTAAAAACACCAATGCTGGCAAAAGCACATTATTCAAACATCAGCCATTGTTCCAAAATGCCAATTTGGTGACTAAGATCAATGTGACTCAAAGAAATGCCACTCAGCTGAGAGAAATATCCTATAAAACCACTTGTATAAAAGTCAAATGTTTTTAGGTATCACATGTTATCACTGTATTTGATTAGAGGACCATGCACTTTGACTCAGTACATAACTTTTATACACATTTACATCCTTAAAATACAACTTTTTTTAGTTCTCTTTCATAACACATACATATTCTTATTCACCTTCATTTTCATATAAAGTTAATATCTTTGTGGTTAGGCTTTTATTTACAACACATTCTGAATTGTGCTGTTGTATCAAATGTTCAACTTCCCCAAACGACAGAAATGATCAGTGGCCAAACCTCCCAGGATGCGATCCCTACTGAACCTGGAAGACGTTGATCTTGCTTGTGTTTTTCAGTGTCTGTCGCCGGTTGCAGAACCAAACTCGCACAACCTCCCGGTCATAGTTCAGCTCTCTTGCTATTTCTGTAATCTCCTGGCCTGTTGGCAATGCGTTCTTCTCAAAGTACGAGTTTAGACTTCTATTGCCTGCGGGGTGAAACTAGTGCGCCGCTTTCGTTTTTTGGATGGTTCGCCGCCAACAAACTCCATCAGATTCTGCTGGCCTTTCTGGTTCCAGTGCTCCGCCTCAGCCAGCCACTTTTCCAACACTGGCTTCAACTTCTGAGCACTCTTTGGAGTGATATCCAGCTTTTCAAACCTGCAGCAACAGATGAAAGTTTACTTTGAACCATATAATGAGAGCACACAATGACATCCCTATGAATAAACATAGACCCGTTTGTTTAGGACTGTAACTTTGATCTGGTGTATTTCAGGTGCTCATCCTTTCAAACTTGAACCGACCTATCGAAATGTTTCAGTGTTTTCATATACTCACATATCTCCATAAAAAAATAAATCCATTACTGCTCATATTGAAACCCCACTTTTCCACAATTCCTACTTACAGACATGATACATTTTTTTCTCAAACGTATTCCATGTCTGTTAATTCAGTGAAATAGTAAGACTTTGATATGGCAGCCAATAACCAGTTAGCTAAGCACAGGTTAGCAAAAAGACAGGAAACAAGTGGAAACAGCGAGCCTGGGCTCTGTATCACAGGAACAAAAGGCAATTTGAGATCTTTTTTTCTAAGCTATGCTAAAAAGGCTGCTAACGATAGCTACATACATGTAGTTAGTGGACATTAATGTATTCAGGAATTCTCAATTCTCAACATTTGGTCTGACAAACGTCCTTCTTATTATGTCAACAGCAGCAAAAAAAAAACAACATTTTTTACAATTGCTATAATTAAGCTGCCTTTACATAGTCATATTTATATTCGTTTTCTACATCTACTTCTCTTAGATTTGAAAAGCTCAAAGTCATGAGAAGAAATCATTTGTATTTGTGCCTTTACAAAATGTAACCTCAAATTGAATCAGAATTATAATTTGTGTGAATGCGATTGACATACCTGTATGCACATATTGATTGCGTGTCTGCACTGTGTTGTTGATGAATCCCTGATTACCTTTAATATGAAATTCTTATTTTTTAATTAACATTTCTGGTTCTGGTTTAAGCTTTACTCTGAATAGAAACATGAACCCGGGAGTGAATTACCTGCAAATGGCAGACTGGCTGTAGGCCGGACCCTCAGTTGCAGTCAGAGCCTGCCCCACTTGTGTCTGCGTAAGCCCCAAGGACAGCCGACGGATCTTGAAATTCTTGGCAAACTCTCGAATTTCCTCCAGATTAATGCCTTCCTCGCTGCTCACTTGCTGGGGTTCTACAGGGGGGGGGGGGGGGAGAATCTGGTTAAAAATATCTACCTACATAAAGCTGATCTATGTTTGGATGGAAGATGCAGGTGTACATACTGCTCACGAGCTGGCCCACTTTGGCGAGGTCTCCACAGGTGATGGGCACTGCGGAGGAGAGCGTGGTGGACGTCTTCAGTACAGACGGCTGTGGAGCGATAACAACCGGTGACTGAGTGACAGTGGTTGCCGACACCTGGTAACAAACAAATACATATTCTCAGATGTAACTATGTAAAGAAAATATTTATCTTTCTGTTTATATTCACTATTTTTTTCTCCTTTCTGGCCTTCATAATGAACAAAGATTAGGCCCTTTTTTTTTTTAGTCGTCTACCTGTGCACTCTGCTTGGAAAATGTTGGAGGAGCAGCGGCTTTGGGCAGAACTGCAGCAGAAGTTACCACTGCTGCAGGTCCGTTCCCCACTGTGGCGATGATCTGGCCCTGGGTGTTGAGAAGCAGCTGTGGGGTGAGAGTCTGGACCTGGAGACCCTGGAGACCCTGGAGACCCTGAAATCCCTGAAGACCCTGGAGACCTTGGAGACCCTGGAGTCCCTGGAGTCCCTGGAGTCCCTGGAGTCCCTGGAGGGTGGAGGTTGCAGCCCCTCCTGCTAGAGATGCAGGGTTCACCAGCAGAGGGAGGGTTCCTATGACCTGGAAGTGTTGTTTGAAGTTTAGTGAAATGGATTAGACACTTACAGAACACTCAGCTACCAGTCGTTCCTACAGTGTTTCTGCTTCTGAGTAAGACGTTCACAATTGCTTTCATTTGCAGACTAACTCTAATGAGCTGCAATAATCATAAGATTGAGTAATGAAACTATTTGAGAGGACATATCAGTTTTTCACACGCTCCGCTGACTTGAAACAGCGCTGCTGAGTGATGTTAACTGGAGGCCGGGGCTTTTATTTCCAACACAGAAACACAACACAATAACATTGTGATTGTGCTGTGGGTAAAAGTGATTCTACTTCTAAACATTTCTCATTTAGTTGTTCAATCAGTTTGTATTCTTTGCAATCAAATGACTTCTATTGGGAAATGACACGCTAATAAAAAAAGGCAATGTGTTATTATCTTTCCTTCCAAATTCCCCTGTTTACAACATTGTACAATCCAAACTCAAAAACATATTATAGTGTAGGACAATATAGAACAAAGCAATTAGATAAATTAAACCAGGTAAACTCAGCAGCAGTATTTATGTATGGAACCTACTTGTCCCTGTGCATTTGTGATGATCTGGCTGGTGATGCCGGCCATGTTGGACATGGCACTGGTCAGGATGGGAGTGGAGGTGAGGGAGCTGAGGAACTGGGGCTGAGCGCCAAGGGAAGCAGCGTTGATCTGAGAAGATGAACACAGCAGGTACAAACAGCATAGCATTTAAAATCACATATCTATGTGCACAAGTACTGATACATGAAAAATCACAAATCTCTGCAGCAGCATTCTTACAATGGCAGGATTGATGGACAGTCCTGCAGTCTGGAGTGCTGCTACTGAAATGTTGGAC